TTGAGGCCGGCCGGGCACTGGCCCTGGGGACGGCCGGTGGCGGGCAGAGCGAGGGCCATGCAGACTGTGGGTGCTGTGTGGGTCGTGGAAGGGCCAAGCCGGCCAGAGCAGGGCTGGGGAGCAGGCAGGGGGCCTGGCTGTCACCCAGAGCCAGGGTCGGAGGCGGTGGCCGGATGCAGGGCGGGAGGCCAGGCCAGGGGCGGAGGGACTTGCTTCATTTGCTGAGAGTGTCTCTCCTGGAGCTTTGTGGCCCGACACAGACAGACAGGGCAAGAGGAGGCTGGGAGGGAGACGTGAGCCCCGAGGTTTGTGAGCGAGTGCGTTCGCCCCGCGTGCCCTCGCCCGGCCTGCCTGCAGCCACGGCCACTCGCCCTCGCTCGGCGGCCGCTCTGTCCACACGCTCCCTGTCTGGGCCCCGTCGAGCGTGAGGACCAGGCCACAGAGCCAGCGGAGGCCGGAGCCGCCCAGCCCGGGGTCCGCCATCCCCTAGGCGGGCCGGGCAGGCTCAGCAGCCGCTGTCCTTCCAGAGCCTGATGCTGGCCAAGGCCAAGGAGTGCTGGGAGCAGGAGCAGGAGGAGCGGGAGGCCGAGAAGTCCCGCTACCTGGCTCAGCGCATCCCCACGCTGCAGACCCGCGGCCTGTCCCTCAGCGCCCTGCAGGTGAGCCTTGAGCGGGGGGCGCCGCCGGGGACCGGGGGCAGGAGCCTGAGCTGGCGCCACTCGCCCTGCCGGTCCCCCGGGGGCCTCGCGTAGCCTTCCCGGTCCCTGCAGCTGCTCGTGGGCCCTGCTGTCCAGGTGCAGGAAGCAAGGGGGCCTCAGGGGGCCGAGTCGATGGACATGGGAGGTGGGCGGGCCTCGGGGAGCCCCGGCTCGTCCTTCCCTGCGGGGGGTCTGGCCTGATTTCAAACGCTGATGACGGAGCGAGCAGGAGGACAGACGCCCAGTGTCACCGTGCCTATGTCACCGTGTCACCGTGCTCATGTCACCGTGTCACGGTGTTCATGTCACCGTGTCACCGTGCTCACGTCACCGTGTCACCGCGCTCATGTCACCGTGTCACTGCGCTCACGTCGCCGGTGCTCATGGTCTCCCCAGGGCAGGTCACAAGCCGTTTCCATTTTATTACTGTCGTTTAATACATGGTTTTCAAATTTTTCCGTAATTGACTTACATTGTTATTTTTTCCATAAGACAACTTTTTAAAGAAAACAAGTGCATTCAGAAGGCAGAAACGGCTCCCACGCTGAGCTGCCCAGTCACGAACTTGCTAAGGGGCCCGTCAGGGGGGCCAGGGCCAGGGCCCGAGGCAGGGGCCAGGGGGCCGGAGGCTGAGTGGCGCCTCCTCCCGCCTGTTTGTCCCCCAGGACCTGTGCCGGGACCTGCACGCCAAGGTGGAGGTGGTGGACGAGGAGAGATATGACATTGAGGCCAAGTGCCTGCACAACACCAGGGAGGTGAGGCTGGGAGGCTGAGGGGGGCGGGGGGCGCCGACGCCTCAGCTGTGGACCAGGCCCCTCCTTCTGCAAGCTCTGGGGGTGGCCACTCAGCAGGGCACGCTGGCCCCCTGACTCCGGCCCCACAGGGCTGGAGATGGCAGAGGGGAGCACACTGTCCCCCTCACCGGCCACGCGGGCCCCTCAGCCCAGAGAGGCCACCTCCTCAGTGCCCACCACGCAGACGCACTGGCCTGTTAGCTACACCTCGGCCCTGTGGCTAGCGTCGCGAGCCTCTGGCCCTCCTTGCACGCCTGCAGATAAGTCAGTGCTGCTGTCCGCACATCAGGGAGGAGGAGACTGAGGTTCAAGGAGGCCCAGGTCTCACGGTGGGGGTGACCCCTACTCTGTGTAGACTCTGCTCGGAGCTGGAAGGCAGGTGCCTGTGCTTCTGGGCACTTGTCCAAGCGGGGAGGGGCCAGAGGTTCCCCCACCTCTCCCCCTCAGCAATGGTGTCTGTGGGCTCACGAGTCTCCCCAGAGAGGGCACCCTGCAAATTCCACAGGGCTCGGGACCTGGGGTTCACCCACCCTGTGGGGCCAAGGCCGTGCCCAGGGTGAGCCCCTGCGAAGGCTCGGTGTCCAGTGCCCGGGGACAGCACCGAGATGGCGACAATGCGCAGAGCTGGCCTCTGAAGGCGCCTGTGTGTGCTGAGCTCCTGGGGTGCCCGGCTGTTCGTGGCCACCGCCCCCGAGGCCTGGGCTTCACGCTCATCAGCGGCAACTCCTGCCGAGTGGCGGGCGGGCCTGCCGGCCGGAAGCCACACTCGAGGTCCCAGGAAGGGTGGCCCGCAGCGAGCCCCTCACCCCCGCCCGCAGATCAAGGACCTGAAGCTGAAGGTGCTGGACCTCCGCGGCAAGTTCAAGCGGCCGCCCCTGCGCCGCGTGCGCGTCTCGGCCGACGCCATGCTGCGTGCGCTGCTGGGCTCCAAGCACAAGGTGTCCATGGACCTGCGGGCCAACCTGAAGTCCGTGAAGAAGGAGGACACGGAGAAGGTGAGCCGCCCCAGGCCCTCGCCCAGCCCGGCCCGGGTCAGCCTGGGCCCCCCAGAAGGCTCTCATCCCCTGGGAGGCCTGGCTGGAGTCTCATTGTTTTGGGAGGAAGGACACCGGCCTTCTTCCTTGGCTGCTCCCAGTCGCAAAGAAAGCCAGACCCAGGAGCCAAACGCCCCGGCGAAGAGGGCGTGGGGGTTAGGGGCAGGGGACCCCGCCCTCTGTCACGCAGACAGCAGGCCCTCACCGTCACTGCACACGGGCACAAGCGCGGGGGCCGAGCTCAGCCTCCCGCCCAGCCACAGATCACTCAGACGGGGCCAGCTCGCAGCGTCCACGCCCCGAGCAGCACGGGCGGGTGAGAAGCCTGGTCTCCGGCCCAAAGCGCATCCTAACGGGAAGCAGTGGACCAGGCAGTGTGCTGATGAAGTGGGGCATGAGCCCAATGAGCAGGAGGAAGGCTTCCTGGAGGAGGCGGCCTCGAGCTGCCGAGCGTCCCGCCAGGAGCGGGGCGGGGGGCGGGAGTGGGGTGGGAACCAGCCCATCACCATCACGGTCGCCCAGAACTCCCGACCCACATAACGCCCGCTGCCCGCCGAGCCTCGGCGTGGTGAGGGTCCGGCCAGTCTCTGACCCGCGTGTGGCCGGCCCCCAGGAGCGGCCCGTGGAGGTGGGTGACTGGAGGAAGAATGTGGAGGCCATGTCCGGGATGGAGGGCCGGAAGAAGATGTTCGACGCTGCCAAGTCTCCGACCACCCAGTAGAGGTACCTGCGGACCAGCCCCTCCTCCCGGGCCCCCGAGTCTGAAGGCGGGGTGGGGCCCCCGGACAAGGCTGGCGGCCATGCCACAGGCGGGGGGTGCTGATGAGGGTCGCTCCTGTGGGCCCAGCCCTGGATCAGCACCTGGGACGTTGGGCGGGTCACCTGTGGAGGTCCCCTCGTCAGTAACTGGGGTTGTAGCCGACCTGTGGGTCTCCGGGTGTGCCTCTGGGACCAGCGGCATGGGCACCGCCCCAGGCTGCAGGTGGCCCACCCCACCCCGGGCCCACTGAATGGAGCTCTGGGGAGAGCTGCCCTCCAAGTTCCGATGCAAGGGTTTGAGGATTAGAGGGCCCCTGAGGGCCCTCCGGCCCCCACTTTCTGAAAGTTTAAGCTATTTTCATACCTCCGGGGTACCCTGTAAAGCGCCCTGCACCCCAGGCCCTGCCCTGGGGGTCCAGCATCCTCTCCGAGGACATTGCTGGGGGAACAACGGGACAGAGCAGCAGAGTCGGGCCCTCTGAGGGAGCGCGGGGCGTGCAGGGGCTCAGGGCAGGGCTCTGTGGGCGGACTCTCTCCGGAGGGGTGGCGGGCATCAGAGACAGGGAGGGCAGGTCGGGAGCGGGCGAGGCCATGAAGCCAGGTGGGGATTGAGCAGGCAGGGAGGGCCTCCTGGAGGAGGCCAGCAGGGGCTCAGACGGATGGGGAGGGAGCTGGGGCCCAGGCTTCCTGGGAGCCCCTGTGGGCTGAGAAGTCCAGGGGCTGCCTGTGCCCGGGGAAGTCAGGGACCCGCCAAGGGCACATGGTCAGCGGGACTGACGGCTGCCGCCTCTCTGTCCCCACAGGCCACTTGCCGCGCTGGTTCTGGGCCCCTGCGTGCTCCTTCCCCTGCACCTCTCTGCACCCCGGCCCCACCCTGCCCCACCTCTGCCTGCAGCCTGAGTGCCTCCCCCCGGAGCTGGGGTTCACGGACACACCGCCCCCGCTGCCTCCCTCGACTGCTGTGACGTGCAGAGCGGCCTTCATTAAAGCCCCAGCGTCTGGCCATTTCTGTGGCTCTGGCGGCGAGGGCGTGGGAGAGGGGAGGCGGGTGTCTGTGAAGACAGAGCTGTGCTGGCTCCACGTGGGAGTTCCGTGTCACGACAGCTCAGGAACTGGGTGCCCCTGGGAGCCCTCTGTCCCGCCTCGGTGACTGGTGACCTCCACAGCACACCCTCAGCACCCGATGCACAGCTCACCCCAGCCCCCACGGCTCCAGCCATCGGATGGCCCCCTCCTTTCCGAGCCCCTTGCTAGTCCCCTTCCTCTGGGGCCCCTGCCCCTGGAGCCGCTGGATGCTCCTGAATGTTCTGGCTGAGAGCTGAGGGCACTTCCAGCCCCCACCCTGTCCTGCCTACACAGGCAGGGGCGGGTCAGTGTCCTGGTCCGCCAGAGGGACACCCTGCAGTTCTGCTTCTGGCCACCAGATCGCGCCTTTCCACCTCGCCCCACACCTGCTGGGCTCACCTGCCTCCACCCTGGACAGAGCTATTTCCCTTCACATTCCAGGACTGACGGGTCGTTCCCCGGGTGGGGCAGCAGCGGTCTGTCCTCCGGGCCCGGGTCCTTTCTCCATCCCACTGACATGGGACACAAAGCAGGCTGATGGGCGCCGGCCGGCTGGGGCGTGGGGAGACTGGGCAGCCTCCCCGCCCCCCACGCCGAGCAGAGTGGCTCCGGTGGAGCAGAGAGCAGAGCTCGGGGCCAGCGTGGAGCCTGGCTTCTCGGGGCAGCGTCCTCGGGACTCTGCCCCGCGGAGGACGTGGCTGGTCCCCGACCTGGGCCCCTTGGCTTATGACCCCAAGAGCGGAGCAGCCCCGTCCCACCGGCCTGTGTGTCCTGGTCCCGCCCTCTGCTCCCAGTGTATTGTCCGTCATAAATGCCAGGAGCTGGGTGCAAAGTGCAGTGTGAGCGCCTCGCGGGGGCCGGCTCTGGCACCCAGGGCTGCTCGGCTGCCAGCCGGCGGGCGATGAGCGACATGGCGGGCGTTGGGGGCAGCACTCCGCTCGAGGCTCCTGCTACGGACAGCTCCCCGGGCAGAAAGGCAGGCAGGCCTGTGCCAGGAGCAGAACCCCCACGGCACCCCAAACCCTCGGGCACAGACATGCTGGCCTCACATGCGCGTCGCACCAAGCTGGAGGGCCTGACTGCACGCTCCGTGCCACGGACGATGAGAACCCACCTGCCCTGGCCCTCGGCTCGGCCTCCCCTCTGCCCTTCTGAGAGCCGGGCCCCAGGTCACAAAGCCAAGTCCGTTCTGCCAGCCGACTATTAACCATGTCCCGGCAGATTGGGGTCCCCATCCGGCCCCCCAATGGCGGGAGGCCAGCCCCAGGCCTGACTCAGCCTATGGGCGGAAGCGCTGGGCCGGTAGCACACGCCCGAGGCAAGGGCCCGGGGGAGGGCCACGGCCTGTTCCAGGCCCGGAGGTCGCCGGTCCCTCCCGCTTCCTGGAGGGCTAGACTGGCCGACCTCCTGTGGGGACGGATGCTGCAAGGGCAGGGGCAGGTGCAAACACCCCCGAGCGCGAGGCCTGTGAGGCCCTGGGCGGACGGGAAGGGGAGGGCTCCTTGGCGGGAGAGCCAGCTGGGAGCGGGGCTGGGCCTTCTCTTGAAGCGTGGACAGGGCCTGGGGGGTGGCACGGTGTCTGGAGAGTCACCTCCAGCCCCCTCTCAGTATGGAGGGCCAGCGGGACCCGGACTGGACGCAGGAGAGCAGGGCTGAGAGCTGGGCCTCCACCGAGTGACAGCACACGGACCGGGCCCCGGGCACCCTCTGCCCAGTTAATTTATTCAGTTAGTCTTCACGTCACCGTCTCGGGAGGGAAAAACCACTTCGCAGATGGGTAAACCAGGGCACAGAGAGATCGGCGCCTCCCACGGTCACACGGCCAGGAAACGGGGGGCCAGGACCCGGCCGGGCAGTCTGTCAGCGTCCGGACTCCCGGTCCTTATCTCAATCGTGCACAACCCGACGCTGTGTTTTCACGGCTACAACACTCTGCTCTCACGAAGCCTAAGGAGCAGGCAGCTTATCCCAGATTCACTGGAGGAAACGTGGGCCTGCGGGGCGAGCCTGCTGCTCCTGCCTCTGCAGGGCACACGGGAGGCCGGAGCCCCGGTCAGCCTGGCCCCGGGGCGCCCTTTTTGGGGTCAGACTGGCCTCAGCAGAGCCCAGCCAGCCACTCTCCCAAGGGACTCGGCTGGGGGTGCAGAGCTCCCAACCCACACCGGGGAGTTCCTATAGCTCCTCCATAGCCAATGACACCCAAATGGCAGTGGGCCACAGTTGGACCTGGGGGCTCCTTGGGGGAGGGGTCTGTGGCAAACTGACACAGAGCAGCTGGCTGGGCCTGGTGCTCCTTGGTAGAAACCAGGGCAGATTGCCACCTGCCACCGTCTCGTCTCTGCGTGTCCCGGCCTGGCCCTCTGGAGGCCAGCCTCGGCTCCCCATCCACACAAGGTCCCTCCCTCCACGGGTGGCGCTAAGCCACGGTGTCTCACGTGCCCTGTGGGGAGGGAGCCGGTTAAACATTAGCCTGATGGCCCCCCGCGAAGGGAGTCACACTCCCCAAGGGCTGCGCAGCCGGGGGGCAGTTATGTTCCAGCTGGGTGACCAAGCTGTGGAAGCTCAGGACAGGCCGCTGGGAGGCAGCCTCCTCCCCAGACCACAGCAGGGGTCTCTCCTGGAAAAGCCCCAAGGCTGGCGGCCAGGCCCTTCCCTGGAGGGTGAGGACATTCTCTCACTCCAGGACACACCCCCCGGGCTGGCCTGCGGGTCCCCTGAGGCCAGGGCTGAGCAGCTGAGCTCCATAACTCCTGGCACAGAGCACTGCAGGCTGGCTCTGGAGGCCCAGAGACGGACAGTGACTTGCTTAAGGTCACAACGCTAACTGGGGCAAAAATGCAGGTCCCTGGATTCTTAGTCCACTGGGGGTGCTGGGTGTGGGCAGAGGCCTGGGCAGCCGAGCAGGTGGGCCGCCTCTAGCCCCGGCTCAGCACCCACCTGGCTCCAGCGCCAAACCTGGGTGACCTGGCCCTTTGCTTGGGGTTCGGGAGAGAAGTGTGGCCTCACCTGGGAGCCAGGGCAGGTGTCCTGAGCCCTGAGTCCCGGCGGAGGGGTGTGTGCCCACTGGTGACTGCCCACCTGAAGCGGGGAGTGGTGCGTGGGCACACGCACGCAGCGTGCAGGCTGGCGGCTGCCTGCTGTGGGCATGGCGATGCCTAATCGGCTCTCGGTGACCCAACTTTCAATGGTGGGGCCACTGCACTCGGGTCTCCGTGAAGAGCGCTCCCGTGTCCTGCGTGTGGGCTCGCCTTAACTTCAGCCGTTTACTATTAAAATATTCTTTAGCGTGGGCGGGGGGACGGCGGGCGGCAGTTGCGTTTCAATGTCCTTGCTTCACAAGATCAAGCGGTGGCAGCGCCGTTCGGCTGTGCCCCTCAAAGACAGACTATTAGTCTGAAAAAACCAAGAGCCAGGGAACCTCTGTCCTGGGTGCTTTGGGGTGCACGTCTTGTCACCTGGCAGTGGGGATGGAGCCCGTGTGCCGGTGTGACTCCCGGCCCGTCTGGTCTGGGGCTGGGGAGCCCCCTGGACACCCCCAGGGGCCGGCGGTGGGGAATTCCAGAGCCTGACGTCTGCTCATCTGCTCGGGGAGGGGAGAGGTGGGCCCTCCCGCCGACGGCTGGGAAGTCTCAGAAAGCCCTGGCCTGGACCAGGGACTTCCCGTGTGAGGAGCCATCTCCGAGCCTCTCCCCAGAGGCAGCGACAGCACACGCTCCCAGTGCGAGATGTTTGGACAGTTGACAGAATCATAAAGTGAACACCCTCACGTTTTAAGAAATAGGGTGTTGCCCGGATTTTGGAGGCCCCCGTGGACCCCTCACCCCCGTCCCAACCCTCCTTCTCCACAAAGGGGGACGCGGGCCGACACTTCGTGCCTCGTTCCCTGGCCCGTCTGCGTCGTGTCGCCACAGCTTTAGGAACCCCTAAGGCGTGCTGGCCTACTTCGCGTCTGACGGGCGTGCGTGCCTTCTGCTTCTGCCCGTTTCTTTGTTCGAGGTTGAGGGCGAGACATTCATCCCGGTGGAGACACTGACCTGTGGCTCGTTTTCTGTGCTGGGACATGAAGCGATGACGGTGCCTCTGCTTACCTACCCGTTTTCCTGTCGAGACATTTGGGTGGTTTCCAGGATTCTGCTGCTGGTTGGTGGCACTCGGTCACAGCAGCCCTGGAGACCACCGCGCTGACACGGCGCCAAGCCCAGCGCCTGGCATGCAGAGAGCGTGCGGCGAACGTTCGCGGTAACACGTGCCACACGAAACTTACTTCTCGCTTCCGGAGGCGTCGGCACAAAAGCCGTCCGTGTCTTTGGGTTTTTATAGCCATAGAGAGGGTGTCGAATTTTGGACTTTTAGGTACCTGACTGACTGTCCCTTGGCTCCATGAAGGGTCCCCGGAAGGGCCAAGCTTCAAATGACTGGGAGTGTTTTTCTTCCCGGGTTGAGGCGCTGTCGCTGACACCATGTGGGACAGACGGCAGGCTCCGAGGGTGTCGGGCCCTAGACCCGAGGCTCCGGGGACACGGGCTGCGCTGTTCCCTCCTTCTCTTTCCTGGAAAGGCTGCATGGCTCGCGGTCCTGCCTTGGCCTCTGCCCGGAGCTCTCCAAGGCCTTGTCACCTCTCGCACTGCTGGCCTGGTGTCACCAACGTGTGACGATAAGTTGCTTGATCCCCGCAGCCCTGAAGGAAGCAGGGTGAGGTCCCATTTTCCGTGACACAGATGAGAAAACGGGATTTGTCCCCAGGTCACATGGTCCGCGAATGGCAGAATCAGCTCCAAGCCAGGTCTCCAGGCCCCAGTCCCAGGAAACTCCCTTTCACCTCCCCTGCCAAGAAGGAAGGCTCCCGAGAGGAGGGGGCATTTGGGGAAGGACTTGCCGCATCCAGCTGGCCGTGTGTGTTTTGGGCTTTGGCTCGGCGCTGGCTTGCGGTTTCCCGGTGGGGGTGGGGATGGGGACCGTGAGGCCACCGGCCTGGGATCAGGGCGGGAGGTAGGCCCGGCTCTGCGGGGCGCCTGGGCCCGCACCTCACTCCTGTCCGGTCGGGAGCTGCCTCCAGCTCCGGGACATAAACTTCCCCGCGCTCAGCCGGCCTGGCGCTGGCTCCTGCCTGGGAAGCACCTACACCCACTACCCCAGGTGGCAGGTAAAGGGAGCCAGGTGGGTTGCCTCAGGTTGCCGGGTTCCAGCCCGGGTTACCCACGGCCCCCCTGCCTTCCAGGCGAGCAGAGCCGCCGCCGGGCTGTCCCACACTCTGCCCCTCGGGCCCAAAGTCCAGCACCAGAGAGAGAGTCGCGCCTCTGACGGCGGCCGGGTTCAGCGCTGCGGCACGCGATCGCCGGCAGAAGCGCCTCCGAGGCTCGCTCTTGGGGAGGGGCCGCCCCGCCCACTTCAGCCAGCGCGGGGGAGCGGGGTGCGCTCTGCACCCCGGACCGCGGTACCTGCGCCCCGTTCCAGCCCGGCTTCCTGCTCTCGGTTTCTCGGGCGCAGTCGGTTCCCGGCAGTGAGCTCAGCCTGACCCCGATCTGCGGGTCCCACCCCCTGCCTGGGCACCCCGGGCCGGGCCGCAACACCTGCGCGAGGAGGCGCCCAGCGCGGAGCTGGTCCGACTGGTTCTGAGCAGGAAGCCGGCGCCCTCGCCCCCGGCCGCCCGCCCGCCCGCCGACCAGCCCCGCGCCACCGGGCGTCCGTGCGGCGGTCCGCGCGGCAGTCTGTCTGGGGCCGGGGCGGGGACCGGGGCGGGACCGGGGCGAAGGTCCGGGAGCCCACCCCTCCGAGGCCGCTCCCGGCCGCAAATCAGCGCGCGGCGCGGCGCGGGGCGGGCGGCGGATATAAGCGCCAGGTGACCTACCTGGGCCGGCGGCGGGGGAGGGGCGCGCAGGTGAGGTGGCCCCGCAGAGCTCGCGGCCCTGGCAGCATGTCCGGCGGCAGGAAGGACTGGTCCGCGCTGTCCAGGTGAGCCCGCGGCGGGAGGGGCAGCGGGCACCGTTGGGTCTTCCTTCCTGACAGTCTGGCGCTAAGGGGGGGCCCCTGGTCTTACTGCTCCTCTGGAGACAGCGTCGGGGCGACACCAGGGAGCCCCATGGGACAGAGGGTGTGTGCTGGCCCCTCACCGCTTCCTTTCTGCCCCTTGGGGCTGGAGGCCAAGCACAGGGTGCCTGGGAGGGCTGCTCCCTGGCCTGGAGAGCCCCCCACCCTATGACCCTGTTCTCAGGGTTCAGGAGGGGTCAGAGCTGTCCAGTGGACCCCAGGGAGGTGTCCCTCAGCCCTTCCTGGCAGGCAGGAGTGGGACCCTTCCCAGCTGGGAGGGTGACGGACAGGACTGGGCGTGTGGGGGACAGCCCCTCTGGCCATGAGGCCCAGACTTGGGCACTGGGGCGGTGTCTGGGCCTGGCCAGCTGGAGATAGCTCCCGACCCCTCCGCACCCCAGTATTTACTTGTGACCTGGGCCCTCAAAGGGCCAGGAAGGTGGGGGTGTCTTATCCTCAGCTGCCAGGCTGCCTGTCAGGGCTGGGGGAGGGGGTTCGTCCCAGAGGCAGCCCCCCTCACGGAGCTGCTCCGCGTGCCCCAGAAGTGCTTCCATGAGCACCGTCACCTCCTTGTCCGCACCGTCCCCCGCCCGCACACCGTCTTGCCCCTGAAGAAACAGGCCCTGGAGCTCAGAGCCATCTCCACACTCTGCGCCCCACAGGCTCTGGCTGGGTAGAAACCGGCCTCTCGGCCCCTCCCAGGCGGACCCTGGGGGATCACAGCCCTCGGCGCTCTGAGCCCGGGGCTGTCTCTGCAGGGGCTGCCTCTTCAGACCTTGCCCACTAAGTCGTCCCAGGCTTTCCTCCCCTCCTTGGAGGGAGGGGTGTCCAGAGCTTCACCAGGGTCTCAGCCACCCCCTCCCCCCCGCCGCCGCAGCTCATCCCCAGGACTGGGGTCCTCCCAGCGCGCTAAGGCACAGCTGGCTAGTAAGACCCATGTGGAGAGGCCCATGGGGTCTGTGGGGGAGATAAGCTCCAAGAATGGGGGGACCCAGTGCTCTGAGGAAGGAGCTGGGCGGCCAGGGGTTGGACACACCCCAGGGAAGGTATGTGCTTAGGGTGGGGCTGAGAGTCACGGCCTTGGACTCTGCATGTGGGTCAGTGTGCCGGGGGCGGATGTGGGAATGCCTTTGGGTTTCGGCCCGGCATCTCTGTGCCGACGGCCGGGTGCTTACCCCTGTGTGCGGGCCGCTTGCGGCCGGCGAGCTGAGCGGAGGCCTGTGTGGGCAGCAGGTTCTCCGCTGCCGAGTCTGGGTCTTGGGCGCCCGAGCAGGGTCGGCCTGGGTGTTCACCGACAGCCTCGGTGCAGAGCCTCGGGGTGGAGATGGGAAGCAGGCCCGAGCTCCCCAGTGCGTCTGGTGGGATGCGTGTGGTTTTGTGTCTAGAGCGTGCCTGGGCCTGTGCGGGCGGGGCGGGAATGGGGTGGGCAGCTGGGCACTGTGCCTTTAAGGTGGGAGCAGGGTCTGGTCTTAGCTTGTCCTCTGCTCAGGTGGATGTGGTCTCGGGTGGCAGCAGGGGTGGGGCCGAGTTCCCACGGCTGTCCGCGGGATCCTGGGGGACCAGTCCTGCCCCAGGAGCCCCTGCCCCGCAGGGCCCCAGCCTTGGCAGAGCCCCCATGGCAGGCGCGCTGATGCCAGCTGATGAGGCACCCGGAGCAGAGGGCTGCTCCTGCTCAGCTCCCAGGGAACAGACCTCGGCAGCAGGAGGGAGAGGGCGCTGAGTCACTGCCACCGGCAGGCTGGGGCGGGTGGTCGGGGGGTGTGACCAGCGTGCCCCCAGCCAGGCCCCGGTTGGGGGCCGAGGACCCTGGGCAGCCCACTTTGGTGTGATAAGGAGACTCGGATGCCTGGGCCTGGCTGCTCTGTGAACAGCCTGTCCTTCCCCCGCTGGGCGGGGCGGCAGGGCTGGCCCAGCCTGTCTGCAGGGGGTGAGGGTGGATCTGAGGACACCCCGCTGAGCAGCCGGTGTTAATCATTTCCTGGCCTGGGCCTCGCTGCCCTGCCCTCCCTGAGCTGCCCTCCGGTCTGCCCCCGACACCTCTCCCTAGACCTTTGGGGCTGGGAAGGGCCGCGGCGACCACGGGGGGACCCCCTCTTGGGCGGAAGGGGAGCCTGAGGCCTGCCCCCTCAGGGGCCGCAGACTGCCCCCAGGTCACAGGGCCAGTGGGAGCGGGTGGCCTGCTTCCGGAGCCCAGGGTTCCACTCACTCCGGGGTGGCCTTTGCGCCTTCCTGTTCTTTACCCGGAGTGGCTGAGGGGTGCGGCCCTCCATGGCGGCGGAGGGAGGGCGACCCCAGGCGGAGGCGGAGGCGGAGGCGAGGGCTGTCTAGGCGAAGGGTGTGGTCAGGGCTGTGGCCTCAGCTGGCGAGGGTGGTCCCCTTCTGCGCCCTGCTGCCCCGTGACATCTCACCGAGGCCTCTTCCCCGTGTTACTAACAGCAGCACCAGGAACTGCTCAGGCCCAAACGCTAGAACTTTCCGTTGTTTCGTCTCTTCGTTCCTCACCCCCGTCTCGTCTACCCCGTGGGCTCGATCTTCAAAACCCGTCGCTTCCCATCTCTGGTGCCACCGCAGCTCAAGCTCCGACGCCCCGCTGGGCGATGCAGGGGCCCCCGGCCGGCCCTGTGCTTCTCCCTCCGCCCCCTTCGGTTCTTCAGGAGACAAACAGTGTCCCACGGTGTCACCCCCTGGGCACAGCCATGCGGTGGCTCTCCAGATACTCGGAAGGAACCCAGATTCTGTCGCTGGTCTACACGGACCTCTGCTTGGCCTTGGCCTCCATCCCGGCTCCCTGTGGCCACCCTCTGGGCCCGGCCGCCCCCTCCCCTAGACGCCCAGCCCGTCCCTCCCAGGCCCGTGCACTGGCCGTGTCGTCCCCCCGGCCGCTGCCTCCCTGTCCCCTCTCTCATCGCCTCCGACCTCGTTCCACTGTCCTCCCGTCACCTGCTGACGTGGTTCCTTCATGTACCTGTTTCCGGGCTCAGCGTCCCACTGCCTGCCCCCGGGATGCGTACTCCAGCGAGGGAGGGTCCCCGTCAGCGTCCTCCTCTGCCGTCCAGTCCCCGTGGCCACCCCTGGCGTGCAGTCGGTGCTCAGAGACACCTGCGTAGGGGGTGTGGGTCAGCGAGCGTGACACCGGTGGCTTCCCCCCTCTCCTTAGGGCGGGACCGGAGGAGAGGCGATGCCCGGGGCTGGGTTGGGGGCTGGCGGCCGATTGCCCGGCCTGCCTCACACGAGGCTGTTGGGGGCCTTTTCTGCAGAGGCTTCACAGATGCGTTTGTTATGCGATTTGGTTCATAAAACAGTGGGTTTCCATGACTTTTTTTTTCAGAAAAGTGTCTGCTGCTTGGTGAGTCTCTGCAGGACGGAAGGGGCTGGTCAGGTGCATCTGCCTCCTCCGGGCAGGACCGGGCCACCTCCCACCTGCCCGGTCACCCAGACAGGGCGGCCCCAGGGCCCCGCTGTGGAGTCCAGGGTCAGAGCCCACCCGAGGGGTCTCATGGGGGCCGGGTTCGCCCCCCGGGGATCCCTGGCAATGTCAGGGGGACATTTCTGGTCGCCGTTCCTGGCGGGGGGGCTGCTGGCGTCCAGCAGGCGGAGGCCGGGCGCTGTTCGCACCCCGCAGTCAGGGCAGCCCTGCCCGCGGGGCGTGTGGCCCCGATGCCAGCACCCCTGCACCGAGTAGCTCTTTACCCCAAATCCTGCAGGTTTAGCAGAAATTTAACAGCCACCGATAGACGTATAACGTAATTCAAACATTTTCTGACAGACACAGTAAACAAGTAAAGAGAGTCAGGCAAGCTCAATGACGAGCCGCCTGGCTCCCCATGTCCAAGACGCTCCAGCGTGCCGTCGACCCGCGGGCTCCTGACGAGGCATTTCACGCTGCCTTTCCTGCGGCCCTCGACGCCCCGCACGCGGTGTGCACTGAGGCCGTAGCCGCCGCACAGGGCGCCGCAGGTGGCGGGCCAGGGACTGACCCTTTCTGCCCCCGCAGCCTGGCCAGGCAGCGGACCCTGGAAGATGAGGAGGAGCAGGAACGTGAGCGCCGGAGGCGACAGCGGAGCCGCAGCTCCAGCACGGACGAGGCCCCGCGGCCTGACCCCAGCGGAGGCCGCCCGGCTGCCGACAGGTGCGCCGTCAGGGTGGGCGGGCGCCCCGTCCCCACTCCCGGGAGATGGAGCACGTGCGGCAGCCGGCCTGCCGGGGGCATGAGGCCGAGGGCTGAGCAGGGGTCCCCCACGTCCCCAGCGTCCCCTTCCGGGGCCCATCCCCCTCCGGACAGTAGCCGATACCAGCGGTGGGTCGCGTCCGCAAGCCAGGACCTCGCTGGGTGTCAGATGGGCATCACTCACCACACCCCGCGAGCGGTGCTGTGCGCCATGGCGGGTGCAGGCATGACGAGCCCACGTGGCAGGGCTGGCGTTTCCGCCCCGCCGTCGGAACCACCCTGCCCTCGGAACCGGGTCGCCTCTCAAACTCGGATCCTGCACGGCCCCTTCCCCTGGACGGACGTGGTGGCCGGCCTTGCCCCCTGGGTTTGGGAGAGGAGGGCCCGTGATTTGCTGACGTCCCATGTGAGCCAGGACAGCTGGGCTGGCACATGCACGGGGCGCGTGTCACCTCCTGACAAGCCCCGTTTGCAGATCTGGAAACTGGGGCTGAGACAGTGACTTCTCCCACGTCCAGGGGAGGGCAGGGTGCCAACAAGAAAAGCCCCTCTTTCTGCTGGGCGTTGGCCTGTCCTCTCAGGCCACCCTTGTCTTCTCGGGTCCCCAGAGAAGGCAGCGCAGGGGCCCGTGGCCGTGACACGTGACAGACAGGAGTGCGGTGGTGCCTCCGAGGCTTCGGGTCCCCAGCTCCACTGCTAGTTGGCTGTGTGACCTTGACAAACCTTGGAGTATCTCTGGCCTTGATCTCTGCTCCAAGGGCGGGGATGCATTTACGCCTTTGGACTGCAGTGCCCAGCACGGACCGCACGGGTAAAGGCGTCTCCGCCCCCGTCTGTTGATTGATGGAGCCTGGGACGCCTGGGCCTGGCGGGGGTCAGAAACTGCTTGGCAAAGCGTGGCGTGCTTTGTCCAGATGACACCTTGGAAGCCCGACGTGCAGAGCAGACGGAAGTGACCCTTCTTTAAGGGGGGGGGCAGGGCTCTGCTTCCTCACCCCTCCCTGGAGGCATCCACATCGGGTCACAGCCCCCCAATACCCTCTGATTTTGTCTGTCACCCCGTCCTGTCTTCCGGCTCAGACTGCCAAGCGTGGAGGAGACAGAGGGGCCCGAGTCACCACCGCCGGCCCCTGGAGATGGGAACGAGGGCGTCCAGGCCGTCGTCAGGACCCGGCAGGAGCGGAGGCAGAGGCGGCGGGCAGTGGAGGTTGCGCAGACCCCCACCCAGGGGCAGCTGGAGGCAGGAGGAGGAGGGGACAGCCTGGGGCCTGCGCAGGTGCAGCAGCAGCCCCTCGTGCCCAAGAGGGAGGTCGAGGCACCACCTCGCCGCAGGCTGAGCCGTGAGCAGCGTGGCCCGTGGGCCAGGGAGGAGGAGAGCTTGGTGGCCAGGGAGCCGGGAGGCGGGCTGAAGGGGGTCTCGGGGAAGCCCGCAGCCTCCGAGTCCCCTTTCCCGGAGAAGGCGTCGGCACTGGAAACGAGGCTGGGCGCACAGGGAGCGCTGGGGCTCGGGAAGCCAGCCCCAGAGAGAACCGGGGTGACCGAGAAGCTGCCGGCCCCAGGCAAGCCGTCAACCGCCGAGAGGAGACTGGTGTCTGAGAAGGCGTCGGTCTTCGAGAAGTCACCGGGATCAGAGACACAGCTGGTCCCCGAGAGGGCCGTCTCCTCGGAGGAGCCCCAGGCCCAGGAGCCGCCCGCCGCCGGGGGAGGCCTGAGCACCATCTCCGAGCAGAGGGCAAGGGACCTGCCTGAGAAGACCCCCCGGTCCTCGGCAGAACCAGGGGCATCCGATCCTCCGAGCACGGTGTCCCACCTCCCGCCCGTCACACTCCAGGTCGGCAGTGCTCCCGCCCCCCCCAGCCCCACCCAGGTGGCCCCTGGCGCCCTCGCCGAGTCCTGTCCTCTGCCCTCCGGCCGATTTTGTCTGTGTCTTCTCTCCCTGCCTGCATCCGGCCACTGTCAGAATGGGGATACCGAGGTGGGGGTAGGCTGCGGGCAGCTGAAAGGGTCATCAGCTGTGACGGGGGCGTCTCCTCGTCCAGGGGCTGGACTTCGGGACCCCAGCAATCTCTGGGGAAGAGCCCGATCCCGCTAGAAGTTCCGCTGGGAAGCTCCGCCTGGCAGTCTGGCAATACAGGGCTGTGGCCACCATCCCCACAGCAGAGGCAGACGGGCAGGTGGCAGAGGAAGGCACGGGACTGCCTTACTCCCTGCTTCCTCCTGCAGCTCCCGGGAGGGGCCAGGCCGCCTGGGGTCCCCATGGCAGCTTGGGCTCAGGGGGATACCCAGAACACCTGCATGACATTGCCCCGTCCATCCAGGTGAAACTTCCCAGCAAGGAGAAAGAGGCGGACACGTCCTCGCCCACCCGGGCCACCTACAGCAGCTCCCTCCAGCGCTCCAGCCCCCGGACCATCTCTTTCCGGGTGAGCGTCCAGGCACCTTCGTCCAGTTCAGGGGAGGACAAACCAAAGGAACCGGCGTCCGTCACAGCACAGGGCCTTGGGACAGTTACCAGTAAGGCTGTCTGCATAGAGGAGGGCTTGGATTTCCAAGGCAGTCAAGAGCAGAGGAGGCTGGGTTACATGAGGACGGCAGGTCAGTGACCTGGAGAGCAGGTGTGGACACACGTGAGCAGCCCCACCTGGTGGGAGAAGCTGGAGGTGCAGGAAGACAGCACATGCCAGGGATGCTGGTGGGGATGCTGGTGGGGATGCTGGCTGCTGTCTTTGCGGGGATGCTGGCGGTGATGCTGGCGGGGATGCTGGCCGGGATGCTGGCGGGGATGTTGGTGGTGATGCTGGCCCGGATGCTGGCGGGGATGCTGGCGGGGATGCTGGCCGGGATGCTGGCGG